CCACAAATTTGTAAGTACTCTCTAGTGCTTGTTTGTTATTTGATAACAAATTCACTGCTATCAATAAGTGGACCAATCTATCAGCTTATGGATTAGAGAATGGTCAATTGTAAGTACATAAAATAAATCAATAAGCATGTGAAAGATAAATAGAATTATAAGTAGAATTATAAAAAAGTTCTGAATAGGTAAAGCAATTAAGATAAACCTTTTAAAATTCCTCTCCAATTGAAAAGAACATTAATGGATATTAATTCTCTGGGTGGTAGGAAAGGGTATTGAACAAATCATTTCAAGAGATCTATTTTATAGCACAGTGAGTATGATTAACAATGTATTGTAGTCTTGAAATTATGTGGAGAGAATAAAGTTGTTGTCACTACAAAAAAATATAAGTTTTAAAGGTAAAGCATATGTTGACTAGTTAGATTTTTGTCATTCCAAAATATGTGTATGTATGTATTTTAAAACAATATATTGTCCATGGTAAATTTAAAATACCCCCCCTACTCTTCTTTCTCAGGACTCAATTACTTTGTTTAGTTTTTGTTTGTTTGTTATTAAGTTAGCAGTACTCATATGATGCACTTTACTCATATGATGCACTTTACTCATATGATGCACTTTGGCCAATGAATGATATGTGCTACTTTCAGGTAAGTTTCTGTTTTTGCTACCAGAAATGTAGATAAATCCTAGAGAACGACAATTACAAGTTGAAGATGACTTCATCACAACAGGAAAGAAGCTTTGGCACTTGAATTATTACTCAGAAGACAAACACCATCCAACTATGAAAGACACAAATGCATGAAGGATACACCTGCTACATATTTGTAAATGTGGAGCAGGACTTGAGCAATTAGAGTAGTATCACTGTTTTTGTTTGTTTATTTTTTTAATTTATCTGACATGGTGGGTAGCATTTAGCAATCCTGGTTAATATACTTGTCAGGATTTCTGAGAATCTTTTCTGGAGGAAAACACAGATGAGGGAGCAAGGACACGGAAATGAGCACACTCCGCAGCAGAGGGGGTGTGAATTGCTACATCTGGGTTTTTATTTTCAACAAGCAAATTAATCCTATGTAACAACAATATTCAAAATTCACTTTTTCCTCAGGGATTATGATTATATTGACCTTTTTAAGAGATCATCCACATCTTTTTGTTAACTGGAGTGAGAGGTATAATCTGTGACTATGAAACACAATTAAAAACAGTCCTTCAACTTCATTAGACTGTGCTCAAAACAACTGAAAATCTAGTTCAAGGATCAGCTTGGAACAGAGCACTGTAGCATAAAATGAAACACAAAGGATGTTCCATAAGTCAATTAATGATGAATGGCAGTACACTGCATTTTAAGGAAATTTCTAATAAGATATATGGATCAATGCTTGGCCAAATGTTGTTGAGCAGCATTTGTAATTAACTGGGACATGAATTAATGATTAGATTAATGACT